AGGGCACTACTGGGGAGAATGGCCCTTGCTTGCGCTTGGTCAAAGAGGAGCAGCGGAGCCTGGGGCTCCTTTTCCAATTCCAAGCTATGCTTGCCTGTTTGGAGGCAATCAGGAGGTCGGCTCACCCCCTTAATCATCAAATCGTCCTCTTGGGCCTTTGTGGTTGGTCCACCCCAACGATCAGAGATGGAATAATGTCCAAGAGGTCCTCGGTTCTCTTGGTCAAGGAGCAATCAAACCATGTTGACCCTGAGTGGTTCTGTGATCCTTTGCTAAAGCTTAACCTTGAGTGATATGTGAGCTATGTAAACCCCTCTAAATCCCCCAAGTCCAACAAAACAAGCAACCATAGGTGGCCTCTTGGGAAAATAGATGGCCCTGGTAAATGGAATAAACCCCATTTAAACCAGGGCCCTCTATTTTTTAAGCAAACCAACCAAAAAGGACACCTATGCAAGCGAACCGCCGGCCATGCCGCGCCTTTGGGCAATCCGCTGGGTCGAGGCAGGGCTTCGCAGCCTCCAGCTGCTGCTCGTCGCATTGGGAGAAGCCTCGGGTAGCTTCGGCTTCGAAGGTCCTTCGCTTAAGAGGGAACAAAAGCTTCTAGGGTACCTTCCCTGACACACTCAGTTTCTTACACGCAAAAAGGCAACGTATTTGCTAGTGCGTCGGCAGGCCTCGTCTGAACAAAGCTTCCTCACCTCGAAGTCTGTAAGAAAACCGAGGGTGAGGGCGTTCAGATGAGCCACCGAAAGGGCGGTGAGGGAGGGCTTTCAAAAACAGGCTCCTTGAGCGGCACACACCTTCGGGAGTGCGCTCGTCAGTGTCACTGCGTACAAGCAAGCGTGCACTTCATGACGCACTCACTTTCTTACACGCAAAAAGGCAGCGTATTTGCTAGTGCGTCGGCAGGCCTCGTCTGAACAAAGCTTCCTCACCTCAGAAAACCGAGGGTGAGGGCGTTCAGATGAGCCACCATAGGTGCGACGCCTCTGCCCATCTTTCGCACCGGAAGCCCCAATTGCTCACCGAGCCTGCTGAAAACTAGAGGTCGCCACGTTCTCTGTCTCGGTGCCCCCAAAATCGTCCACAAAGTGAAGTGTGGGCGTGATGAGCAAACAGCGAGTGAGCCACGCCATGAAGTCTGCCACTCTGCAATAGCTCCAGACACTGGCAGCACTCCCAAACATCAAAGCATTGTGTCTCCACAACGTCGGCCCGAAAGGCGTGTTGAGGATCATGAACGTGTGGTTGGGGGTTCTGGCACCTTCCCTGATTGCCCTTGCCACCTGTACGAAGGCCTGGATGTCATGGTAAGCTGGCGTTAGCAACTGAACGACGCCAGTCCTCTGCCCGTCTCACCTTCGGCTTGTTGTCGACCCCTGTCTGGTGGACCGCAAATCGAAGGAGACGGCGACCTGCCTTTTTGGGAATGGCAGAAGCTCCGAAGTGTGCTGAAACTGGGGCACACCAACTGTCCTCTTGGGCCACTCCAGCGGCGACTCAAATGGCCCCTCCATTCGTCCGATGCGCACATCCTCGGCAATTTCCCGAGCCATGGTGAACCAATCTTCATCAACTTCGGCACGCTGGAGCTTCTGCTTTACAAAGGTTTCAAGCGGCGTAGGGTTCTGGTAGCGCTCGTCTTTCCGAAGTCGCCAGCCAGCACCAGGCGCTATCTGCCCTAGGAGAGGGAAGCCTTCTGTCAACTCGTTGAACATGGCCATGTCTGGCCAGCTGAGTTTCCGTGCCAACCATTCCAAGGCAGGCACCTGGAGCGTGGTCTGGCCCCTGCCATTGTTGTACACCGTCTTGACGTGCTCCCCAAGGTTCGCGAACCAATGGTCAGTGGTGTCCTGGAGGTCGTGGACGAGGGCATAGATGTCCTGCACGATGCCTTCGCGAAGCTGCGGCAGCACTCGTCGCCAATTGGCCCAATGCTCCGCTGGACATTGTATGGCGGACAGGTCCTCGTGCGCCTGCAGCACCGGAGCCCCGGGACCTGTCAGCAGTGGCGAGCATTCCCAAATGCCACACAAAGTCAAAAGCGGTCCCGCCGAGCGCGCAAAGCTCGTGATTCACGCCTTGAAATGCTTGAGCGGGCTGCGCCATGAAGCCCGCCAAAATGAAAAACCACTTGGCGACGCCAAGTGCCACCCCGTTGGCAAGGGCTCGATGCCGTTGCTTGTCTGAAAGGGAGCTGGTCCATCCTCTGGGCAGGTGGTGAAGCTGCTCTTTGATCTCAGCAGTTGGCAAGCAAAGTTCGCCAGACTTCGCTCTCGCCAGGGTGCATATTGTCTGTTGCCATGGAGCCATCGGGCTTGGGTGTCAGAAGCCACCTTTCCCTTGGGATCCTCCGAGGGCGTTGTCAGGCACGGAAGTGGTCTGACGTCGTTGGCGACGTTGGCTGGCCACTGGAGGTCGCCGAGGTCGTAGAGGTCCAACTTATCCTTGGGCTGCACAAAGGTGACCCGAGGGACTCCTTGGTAAGCGCCCCACTTTGTGCCAACAAAGGGGTTGAGGCGATTGGTCAATTCCTGCCACGGAATTCGTGACCACCAAGTCGGTGGGCGAGAGATGATCCCGAGGTCCGCAGAGTCGGACATGACAGCTTCTGCTCGAAGAGTCGAACATCCTGCTTGTTCTCGGGAACCACGTTCTCCACCACGAGGATCGCCTGCGGGTAGAGCCAGTTCTTCTCAAGCTGGTTGACAAAGTCGAACGATTTGCGGCTGTAGTCAGGGCAAGGTGGGCCTGCGGAGATGATGACAGTTGCGCTGGACTGTCCAACTCGCGGAGCCGTCGGATGACCTGCGAGGCGTCAGGCCCTCTAGCACAGGCGGCAGGGGAAACCCCACCACTCCTTCCGTCAATGCCAAAGCGGACTCAAGCTGGAAATGCTGAGAAGGGCAACTCAGGGCAGCGAAAGGAATGGTCGGTTTTGTTGGGCTTGGCTTGTACGGAAGCAGGTCTTCGTGCTCGAGGCGCCCAGACCCATTTCTCAAGCTCTGAAGTTCTAGGCAGAACCAACATGCAAGCAATGTGTGCGAAGTGACATGCTTCAAGGAGTCCAGCGATTCAGATGTTATGCTTGTTTGCGTCACACAAATTCAGCGCAACGGGCAGTGACCAGTCAACAAGCGCACAACCCGAAAGCAAGAACAAACTGAAAAGTTGTCAATTCCAGAAACAACCGGCGCTCGACGTCGCCAAGCTCAATGGCAAAGCCGGTGGTGATCTTCCCAAACTGCAACAACACCTCAGCGAAGGGAGGACAGGATCATAATGCAATCGGTCAGCGCCGCCCACCAAAGAAGCCACCGTACATGGGTGCCAGGAATCTCATGGCTGCAAGGTCGCACACCTTTCAAAAACAGGCTCCTTGAGCGGCACACGCCTTCGGGAGTGCGCTCGTTAGTGTCACTGCGTACAAGCAAGCGTGCACTTCATGACAACAACAACTGGGTTCGGAGGTGTCATTCTCAAAATGACCCATTCTTCTAGGGCTACCTTCCCCATTCTTTCCAGGGATCCGGATCTGTCTAGAAAAAAACTGCAGAAACCGAGGGAAAACGTATCCGGCTTTTGGAAAGAACGATGGTTAAAAAGAATGGGGAATCAACCCCTAGAAAGCTGGCCTGAAAGGGAGCACTAGGATCCTAATTGTGAGGTCTTGTGCCCAAGGGAGAAAACCAAGGTCATAAAAACCCCCTGGAATCCCCATCTTGGATTTGTCAAAAGGCCGTATAATGTCCGACCATAAGCTAGCTGGGGATCCCATCTATACCACGCTAACAAGTACACCTATGGTCCTGGGAAATGCAAGACACACATCCATCCCACCCCACACACAAACACACCCTCAAAAAACCCCACCCACCACCCACCCACCACCCACCCCCCACCCCCAACCCCACCCCCAACCCCACCCACCTTCCCCCCCGATATCTGGCCTCCACCCCCATCGACCAAACCGCGCCCCCACGCCTCGCTCGGTTCGCGCCGAGCCGCTGGCCTCCACGAGGCTCCCGGGCTCCGGGCCATGGGAGCCCGGCGCGGAGCGGCCCACCGCCCCCAGGCCGTCCACCTGCGCGTTACGAGCGCTTTGAAAAACCCGTCCGCAAAGCGATTTGATTTGCGGGGCCACCCCCAACAAACAAAATCCCCACAAAAACAGATGAAACAAGACTTGCGTTTTGACCTCTCAAATGGTCCAACCATGTGTTAAGTGAGTCAAGCGCAGGAAGTCAGGGAGTGGGGGCTTCTGAAAATAGGAATCGGAGTGAATGGGAAAGTCAGCAATGTTGGGTTGTTGATTCACGCCAAAGTGTTGCAAACATTCAATATGGTCAGCAGGTGAAACTATATGAGCGCTGTTGGGTCAGCAAACCGTCCTGGACAAATCAACGATACTTTTGCCTATGTCGGAAGACCCAGATTTGCTGGAAGTCATGGGAACTCCAGTCATTGCCGCACATGGCCTTTTCCCCGGTCAAACCGAAGCGCAGTCAGCGTCTGAGCGTCTGACTTCTCAAGGGTTATGGGTGTATGACCCGGTGGAAGGGCTTTTCCTTTTTCGAAGACTGGTTTCTCTTCAGAATCAACCAAAGGCAGGTCCTTCTTCCCATGTCCACCAGTCTATTTGATGCCAAGGGGTTTGAATCGGGTTGCCTCTGATTTGGTGGTTGAAAAAGTTTGACTAAATCTGCCAAGAAATTTGCCTAGGAAAGAAACCCCTACCCCCACCCCACCCCACCCCAAAAAAAATGGGTGGGTTTACCATTGGTTTTCAAGACCAGCCCCAAACAGGTACCACCTCAAAAACAAACACTAGATTTGGTCATGGTGTTTTGGTAAGACATCACCGCCTTTCCGGAGCGATTAAACATGAGAAGCCAAGTCACGAGCGGGGCTCGGGAAGGTCCGGGCAGGGGTGTGTGTCTGAGGGACCCCCCAAATGGTGGTTCCTGGGGATTCCCTTTTTAAGACCACTTCAAAAGGGGTACCTTGAAAACAGACACACCCAAGTGAACCATTGTCTGCAGGGCAGTCAGACCCACCCAGGGACCCCGCGTCAACCCTTTCGAGCTGAGAGTAACATAAACAATCCCAAAAGTGGTCGAGGAGGCTTTGGGGCGCCATGAAATACAGCGCCCAACAACCAACGTAACAAGGATTAAGTGGGTTCAACTGAACAAACGGGTAAATTGGTGAGTTTTGTGCGGGGCTAATTTCTTTAATTTCCCAAAGTCAGGCTCACTATAGTTCGCCCGGACAAATAACGAGAGGAAACAACACTGGTTAGCTACCTTGGACACTGTGAATTGGAATGATCCGTGGATTGCGGCGGCTGCTATTACTCTTAAGTGTTGGGAGTGTTGGGCTGGTGGAACAAGTCACCCGATCGGCACAAGGGTAAACATGTGGACTCTCTTCTACCCTTGAGCAACGGGAATCTCTGAGTGTTGCTCCATTCACCCGATCTGCACAAGGGCCACAAACGGGTCTCTGATGAAGGAACGCCCCAGGAACCCATTGTCCAACATTCCACGTGATTGGATAATCGCTTAGACTTTAGGGCTCACTTGCACAAAGGACCTGGACATAGATCATAGAGCTGGGTGAAAGTGGATGGCACAAGTTCCACCCAATTTGGTTAGGCATCCCCTTCACTTACCTACATAAGCGGAATTGCAATCTAACTTCACCCTGGTGTAAACCTTTCTGCGAATCTTGACTAAACACGGAGATAGGGAGGATTGGCTTAGAGCAACTGAGTAGGCCTCTGCTTATTCGTCCTCCCTGGCTCCTGGCCTTGCATGGGCCACACATGGTCCGACGGCTGCCATCCTTCCGAAAAGGGCTGTGCGTTGCAACTAAACCCTCCGAATTCTGGGTTTAGTTTCCGGCTCAACCTGAGCGACCTAAAAGCCAACTGAAGGCGACGTGGGTTGGTTTCGTGTTGCGCCTTCACAAAAAAAACACGTGAGGCTAACTCTGAAATTCCTCAGGGGGGCACTGCAGGGCTGAATCGCCTAAATCAAGAGACGAGTGGTTTTCTTCGGGTGTGCGGTTTGCCCTTGTCATTTCTTCACTCATGGAGTTCCTGGTTTGGTCGTTTATTGGAAACAGCAATGAACCCCAGTGGTTCCTCACATCCCAAAGAAATTCTTATTTCTGCATATGGAAAATAAATACATATATATATATATATACATTCTAATGCACATATGTTTTTATTAAGATACCAACATATACTCTGTGGGACTGGTTGAAACGCTGCACGCCTTCAGGGACTTCCGAAAGCCCAATTTGTTTAGTGGCAGCCGCATTCCGTGTTATGCTGATCCACACTTGCCATGTCACCAAGAGATGAGGAGCTGGTGATTTGGTCATCGAATGTTCATTTCGGATTCATGAAGTTCTCCAGATGTATTCATTGCAGGTGGTACCCAATTCAGTGGGGAGAAGACTTATAGGGGCTTCCTCTGCTTGTTGGGGTCGTCAAAATCCGCAGTTGCCCTTAGGAGCGTTGCCCTTTTGAGTGCCAAGAAACAAAATACAAGCTTTAGGATCCTTAACTTTCCCAGCATAGCTGGTCCTTGCAGTTGAAAACCAAAAGAACAGCCCTGGAAAGCACACAACTGGCTGAGCCAAGACAGGTCACTTGCCCAAAGTTGACCTGGCCGAGTGAAAAACAGATCCCCTTCAGTGCCTGGAATCCCCCCCAAATGATGTCCAAAAGGTCAAAGGTTGGCTTTCGCAACTGAGAACATCAATCTAGCTGCATACAACGCCCGACTTAGGGCACCGCCTTAAAAAGGCTCGCGGGAGTGGGTTTAGGTTGGATGGTTGCTTCCTTGCTTGCCGGGCAGCGGTGGAAAAAAAGGCGAATGACAAAAACACGATAGCGCCCCTCCAAAAACAATGCTGAAAGAACGGGTAGCCATGGACGGAAAGGGGAAAACAGCGCCACTGAACCAATGTGCTTCGGTGGTTGATTTGCAAGTGAAACCTCTCCAGGAAAAACGGAAAAAAGCAATCGCCTAACCGGAGACCTGCATGCAAACCCCATGTTCTAAAGGGCTCCTTAAAGGACAGCCAAAGACCACCTCATTTACAAGGAATCGGACCCTCCAAATAAGCCGGTATTTTTGTGACGTGTTTGCCTGGCCCCTAGCATCCTGAAAGGAGATGACCCGTATGGATACACTCTTGTGCTTCACCAGGTCCAGTGGAGAGGTTCGAATAAGCGTACCGACTTTTTTTCTGTAATCTATTTTAGTAGGGGAACCCTCCCCCTCCCAAAAACAAAATGAGAGAAAGTGCACCTGGCTGGGGGAACCCTTTTTTCTGTAGTCTATTTTACTACGTAGTAGCCCTCCCCCCCCAAAAAAAAGGTGATATTTTTTTTCTGTAGTCTATTTTACTACGTAGTAGCCCTCCCCCCCAAAAAAAAAGGTGAGAAAGGGCACTGAGGGACCTAGCTCGCCTTCCGCTCCTTGCGAGTGTATGCAGTCCACATGCAGGACACCCCAGCGCTCTTGCCCTTGGCCATGCAGTCGTCCATGCGGATGGCTCCTAAGAGTTGATCCGCTCAAGCACGCAAATATGGCTGTGGGTCAACACCCTGTAATTGTGGTGAACATCACAATAGGTGCCAAATTGATGTTCATCCACCCCAAAATGGAGCCATAGGTATGCCCCATGGCCATATGCCTCTGTTATAAAGGCGCCATCATGCTCACCGAAATAGAACTCTTTACAATGGCTCCAAACTCCCTACTCAATTTGGTTGATGACCTAAAAGGACCTGACCATGGAGGGTCGCCCGTACCTCAGAAGCCGAGAAAAAAAGGCCAACCAACTTGTGTTGGCTGATTTTAAGGGGACACCCTTCCTAAAGACTGGAACGAGGAACACACCACCTCGATGCGGACGCCATCGCCCAAGTGCCAACATCATGTGTAAAGTCTTGCTTAAATCAGAGGATTCAGCTTGCCAAACAACAATTGACTCTTCCCAATAGCAGATTCCGCCAAGTCTTGGGGGGTCCCATGCCATGTGAAGTCCGCAGGGAGTACAGTTTGCCGACTCAACAGGCAAGGCTCCGCTGATGTCCGTGCAGTCCGAGACTTTGGACACCATCTGCTGGTGCTCACAGCCTGCGGGGCAAAAAAATCAGGGGGCCGTCTTGCTGCTATCCCCTTTACAAGGCGGCACCAGGCTCCAAAAGGGCCATCCTTTTTAAAACCTCTCCAGGGCAGGTTGGGCACTTCTCCCAAAACAGGAAGTTGCAAGCTACCTCATCAAATGGCACCACCCCCCTTTTCGGGCCCTTTTGCAACTGCCCCCAAAATCCTTTTTGTGGGTTGCAACAACCCAGCTTGCTCCAGAAAAGCTGGCTTTTGAACGAGGCTGGGTGACCGGAGTCTAGACTCCACCGCAAAATGGAAAAACCATTCCGTGGAATCCAAAAAGCGAAGAAGGCCGTTTGCAAACGGACAAGGACTCCCTATGGTCACATGGCCATCTCACTTCCCAAAGTGGGAAGTAGCCAAAGTGGCCAAACTGTTCTGGGCTCAGATCCCCCGCTAAAAGTCTAACTTCTAGGGGGTTAAATGGAAACTACCACTAAACACTAAATAGCTAAAAGGCTAAGGGGATGGCTGGGAGCCACCAAGTTTTACCAAAATGCTCTTCCCAACCAGTGACTGAAGTGAGTTGTCGGGGCCTGGTTCGACAAAGGGCTGCAATTGGCCAATCGCAGCTTCGGCCGAGTTGCGTCACTGCGAACAACCGAAAAATGTGGTGAGGACCCACAAGGTGGCAAGCCCAAATCCAACGTTCCACAAAGATTGCCTTCAAGAATCCTGCCTATTGATGCTGCTCAACCGTGCACCCATTCGAAAAAAAGAGAGGCCTATCAACCTTTGAACGCTGAAAACCCAAAGCAAACCACCTTCAAAACACACACACACACACAACATACCGAAGGAGGGTGTCCCTTCCCTTGTCCAACGGGCCGCTGTTGAATCCGAGCACAGTCCAAAAAGGATTCGCACGCGGATAGGACCAACGACCTTGGTGCCGCCCAACTTGCAGATGTGTCAGCTTGACACCCAATGGCTGGGTGCTGGTTCTGTTTCTTGTCAGGGCTGGATACATTTGCTTGCTTAAGCCCCTGAAAAAAACTATATACTAAAAATGTCCCGTAGTGAAATCGATTCCCTTCAAAACAAACAGAACAAATCACGCAGGTTCAGGGTTCAGGAACCTTTTATTCTGAACAAAAGGTAAAAAAGAAAGAATTAGCACTGGTTTCGGAAGAAAGTCCTCTGACATTCCGAGAAACCAAAAAAAAAACGGAACAGCGAAAATGGAAGACAAGAGTTCCATCCAGTGCACGCCCAGCAGCTCATCTCGCAGTTCTGCACTTGGCCTTGCGGGTAGGCCGCGTTCCTGGCGATGCCCAACCTCCCGACCCCTTCCCTCCAGCCATGAGGGCGCCCGCTTGGCCGGTCGATTTCAATGCTCCGAAAAAGAGGAACCCTGGGCCCACATCTAGGGCCTACAGAGAAAGCCAGTCTCTTCACGTTCTGATTCTTCAATCTTTCGTCGAACCTACCAAGTCTTTGACCGAGTTTCGGAGACAGTGGCTTCCCGAAACTCCCAAACCCCCGAACAAACCCGCCGCCGCCGAACGATGTCGAGATCTCGGTCCTGGGGACGCAGGGCAAGGGAACTCCGCCCCACTCGCAGGGCAGGCAGAGGTTCCGCTTGTCCAGCTCCAGGAACATGCCTCAGGCCGAAGCCCCATTTGGGTCTGTCTTTTTCTGCAGGTACCGCCTTTCTTTTGGTTGGTCTTGAAGGAAAACCAAAAGGAAAACCGCGTTCTTTTTTTTTGGGGGGGGGGGCTTGTTGCTTGTGGGTTATGTTTCTGCCTTTGTGCCCGCCTTTTGTTTTTTGTGGGTCAAAGGCAAAGGATGTGTGATTGCTTTTTTTCTTCCATGGTCAGAACTGGGAAGCCTTTGGTCGTTTGCGGGAGTTGGCACCCTCCTTGCAGGGGGCTTCGCCGCGATCCTGATTTACTGTCCCGGAATCGGCGAGCTCATTGACATGCTGCGTAAGGAACCTTCAGGGAGCTCGTTCAACCAGGTGGGTGAGCTTGGAGCGACACTCTTGGAATACCCTTTGAATGGTTGTTAAAAAAAAAAAAGAAAAGAGTAAAACACTCCTTTCAGAACCCCGCCCCCCCAAAGCATGTCCTAGAATCTCCCGGAGTGTTCACTTGAGTGAGCCCATTCTCTGCACTGACTTGCCGCTTTTTTTGTGTGGAGCTCCTTCCGCGTGCGGAGTGCGCTTGTGTTTGTCGCTGGCACGCCGGGCAAACGCTCGCTTCAAATTCAAGGCGCCCTCCGGGAAGGCAGCCGAGAGTTTTTAAGGTGGCCATCGCCCCTTGTAAAAAGGGAAACAGGTTGCGAGTGGCGGAAAACAGCTCCAACAACTTGATTGCACGTCTGGCAGGATACTTTAGGATTTAGGACAGAGTGGGCAAGAGGGGCTGGTTTCTACTTTTGTGAGAGGGATCCTGATGCCACGAAACCGCAAGCCCCGTTGAAAGTGAAGAATGAGTCATTAAAAGAGTGCTACCGCGCAAACTGAAAATGGTTGTGTCTTTTCTTAGGGGGGACCTCCCAAACATGGTAGTTTCCTTTTTTAACTATCAAAAAAGGGATATCCCCCAAAACATACACCAGCATATACCTCAAATAGCGAACAACTGCACCTGCACCCCTACACTGCGTGCCCCCTAACCCCTCCCTCAATTTCGCAAGAATGCGCCCGTGCCGAGCACCTCCAACAGCACCCCGAACAGGACCCCACAGCACCCTACCGTCAATCTCGCAAAAATGTGCCCGCACCGTCACCAGCACCTCAAACAGCACCTGGACTAGCACCCCAATCTGCATGCCCGCTAGCACCCACCTTCAATCTTGCAAAAAAAATGCACCTGTGCCGTCACCAGCAGCACCACAAACAAATCACAAGCAGCAGCCCCCAAACAGCACCCGCGCCAGCACCCCAAACTGCATGCCCCGTAGCACCTAGCCGTCCCTTCAATATGTATTACTGCATCAGAAGTTAGAACCCCACAGGTTTCAGCTATCTGGGGGAAAACACACACCCATATTAATAATAGCATAATTCCCACACTGCAGGAATTTAGGCGCTTGCCTCAGGGTGGTCCTCTTTCCGACCAGTCTGGCATACCTCCGGGCAAAAACTACACTTCTGCGAACAGTTTTCCAAGGCAGTCTGATGGACACCCTTCATAAATCCCCAAATCCCCGAGCCTGGTTGATTGCAGGGGGTCCATTTTAGAAGAAGTCCTCCCAATTTACAGGAGAGAGGCGTCATTTTCCTGTTTTGGGGAGCAAACAATTCTCCTAACCTGGCGAGTCCAAGTCCCCGAGGTGCATCTGAGGTGCATTTGCTCTTCCCGAGGCAGGTGGCCCTGGAAACCTGCAGAAAGCAAGCGAGAGCGGGCCTTCCAACGAAAAGACTAGGCCAAATCAAAGGCCATGAGAGCCCTTGCAGGGACCGCTTTCCACTTCCGAAAGGCTTGTTCAGACGATGGAACCAAGGCTTGGACCAATGGACAACTATCAACTGGCTTGTTCAGTTGCTTATTGGGGCTATGTTGGAGCCATTTGACGAGCATTGGGGGGCTGGTCAAAGTGATATTCATTGAGTTCGGAGGCCACGCAACAACTTACTACAACTTGCTTTTCAAGCGCAAGACCTACCGACTTGTTCCCGCAACTACGGAAATGTTCTCAACCCTTGCCTGTGTCGTGAACAACCCTATTCTTTCCCTCCAAACGCCAAAGTTGAAACGCAGGACGGTTCCGTTTAACATGGATGTGTCCTGGCAATTATCACCCAACAAATCGATCCCTTGCTTTCCTGCCCGGTAGCAGCAGCCCTTACTTTGGGGGGATCCACCTAATAGCAATCCGGAGTCCACATGAATGTTTCATGCCAGCTTTCGGCAAACTCAACTGTAAGTACCCAGAGTACACCATCATGTACTACCCTCCATTTGCTTAATTGTCCTGAAACAAGTAAACCTATTACTAGTAGTGCTAGGTTGATAGGTTCCCATTAAAACCAACAGCAAGAAATAACACAGAGTCTGACACGCAAATGGAATGAGTAAACCGAAAGCCCAACACCGTCCACCTCTGCTTCTTCACCCCGGAGCATCCAATTTCTGATAGCCCGGCGAGCGAGTGACGGTGGCGGTGTCTGAGCACTCCGAGTCCACTTCCCCCAGCGCATGGATGGCCAGCAGGGAAGAGGCGTTCTCAGCCACCTGCAGGTCAAGGGCGGTTGCCCTGTGGTCACTGCCGTGAATTTGCCAAACGAATGCCCAGTTGCTTGGAACCAAAGGCGTGTCCCAAGAATGTGCTTGCCCAGGAAATCAGCAAGCAGGCATAAGTTTGCGGGGGTTGACTGCAGTTCAAGTAAAGGTGGCTAGTAGAGGGCCTCTTTTTTTTCTCCTTCAGGTGCTCGGGGGTTTACGTGAAAACACGTTTTTCTCACGAGGGTGCTCCCAAGACCCTGTGCATTGTGAGAAAGACACAGGACCCAAAACCCACTGCCTACCCCCGTGGTTTGGGCGGAGCTTCAGGTTGTCACCGTAGCTGAAAGGGGTCAGAGTGTATTATCAAGCCTAGGCCACCTAAGGTAATACCTAGGCAAGCAGCAAACCGTTGACTACTTTTCACACTGCTGGTAGTGCTATTGAAGTCTGTAGCGGCGGAGCATGTACAAGGTACACTCATGCACAGGGTTGGAACCTGAATCCACACCCCCCTCATTTGAGATTGAGCAACAACGAAAATGTCGGCAGGTTTTGCAACCCGCTTTGATTCCATACGCACATCCATTGCACGTTGAAAATGGACATTACACATCCGTCGTGCATGCAAATTGCTACTCTCTCAGAAGGGCTCCGTTGTGATGAGGATTGCATTCACCACCTTCCGCTAGTAGACCAGCCGCGCGAACTCCAGGTCGACCACTGCCAGCTGCTCCAGTCCTGACTGCTCCAGTCCTGACTGCCCCAATCTCTCCAGCTTCGGCTTCTGGCAGCGGAGCTGGAGGCGGGCTGAGCAGCTTGCACAGGTCCGCGGGCGCGGTCCTCGGCGCTTTGCCTTTGGCTGCGCCGTGCGAGCTTCTTCGCATCGTCCTCCGCCTGGCCGCAAATCTCCTTGACTTCAGCTTCGAGGTCCACGGCTCCGGTTGCCCGGAGCGTAGGGAACTTCCCGCCAAAGGTGACAAGATTGCGCATCCCCGGGAGGATGTTGACCTGGTCGACGAATTGATGAAGACTCAGCATTTTCCCGTTGTACGAGAATAGCCATGGAAACTCGAGCAGGCTGTCGTCATAGTCCCCGACCTGGCCGCCGGTGACGTAGACGGTTCTCACATATTGGAGGCCTCGTTTTCCATAGCGTGGCCCAACCCCGAGAAGTCGTTGGTCATAACTCCGTGGAAATTCGGGGAGGACACAAAACCTATAGATGGACATCTGGTAGAGGCTGTCGCGGTTGTGCCCTTGCTCCACCATGCGAAGGGCAAAGGTTGCGTCTTTGTCGAACCGATCAACCACGTTGCCGTACCCAAGCTTGCGGGCCCTGCTGTCGTAGTTCTTTGAAGCCTCGATCTGCTTGGCTTCAAAGGATGTTGCTCCTCTCTTTGCAACATCAGCATAGCCCTTGAAATCATTGATGAGGAGCTGGTCAACCGTCTTGCCGACGCGGTGGCTCACCTCCTCAAGCATCTGCATCCTCCGCTTTGCGGCTCTGAAGAGCTGGACGTCGTTGGTCTCCTTGGTGCTCCGTCCACAGCGCTGACACTTGATCTGCCCCTGCATCATGTCCTCGCCGCAGAGGCTGCAGTCCGTGTAGTGGACGGGCATCGCAAAGGTCTTGAAACGGACAACTGAGGTGTCGGCCGCGGGTTGCCCCGGGCGAGAAGCGGCCGTATCCTCATTTGTCTGTTCTTCTTCAGGATTTGTGGCCCTGTTCCCCTCCGCATCGGTCTGAAAGGCCTCGTCTGCAGTCACAGTGACGGCTCGCCTTGCGGCGAGCATATCGACAGTCGTTTGATTCTCCAATGCCTCAAGACGAAGGGCATTCCTCCAAAGCACTTCTCCGGTCTTCGCGTCTGTGTAGTACAGAATGGAGTCATTGGGAACGATGTCGTTGGTCAGCATGACATCAGACTCGGAAAGGAAAAACACCACTCCGAGCTCAATCGCATACTTGAAGTCGATCACAAGCTCCATGGGCATCGTTGCTCGGACTCCAGCATTATACGATGAGCTCTCTACCGGGTGGATGGAAAAATGGCTTTGCGAACGGCCACTCTCCGTGGCACCAACGCCACCCGGGACCAAACCTGTCCTGACGATGTTCTCGGCTGCATTCTTGCTCGTGCGATGGTATAGTTTGCCAGGGCCATCATCAACCGGTGAAAGTTGCAGTCCAACCTTGCGAGCGTCCTCCGGGAGAAACTTCCCATAGACGGCCTTCGCAAGTGCATACTGGTTCCGGCTGATGTCGCCATCAGCATCAACGCTGCTGGCGTGTCCCTGACTGGCACGAACCTTGATGACAACCCACTCCTGGTTGTTCTCGGCAGCCGAAGGGTGCTTGATCGCGAGGACGGTGTATCTGCATTTCGGATCGAGTGCAAAAATCTTCAACAGCGTTTTGTACCCGATATTGCTGCGGGTCTTTCTGTTGAATTTGTCACATAGCTGATGGACGTCGACAAAATAGTTCTCATCGAAATCGAGTGGCCTCTGTTCTTGAAACCTGCCACGAAGCATACCAGATATGGTTGTGCACCGATCGGTAGAGGACGTTTCTCCCTTCATGAAGTTGGGCACCTTCAGGATCGTGCCCGGGAGAATCCTCGCCTCATACTCCTGGCCGCGGAAGATGACGGTTCCGCCGGGCTTGCCTGGCAACGCGCTTCCGGCAGAGGTTGCCCCCCGCACATCCGATGCCATCGTAGTAGTTGATGGTTTCGCCTGTACCTTAGGCGATGGTTTCGCCTGTACCTTAGGCGATGCTTTCGCGGTGAACTTGGGTGTAGCCGGAGCGGCCTTGACGCCAAGCGCAGCCTCAGCGGCACTCCCTTGCGGGAGTGCATCATCGTCATCATAGTCGATCTCCTCCTTGATTTCGACTTCCTCGATCTTTTCGAGGATGCGGCCCTTCGCGAGCTTGATCGGACGTTGAAGGCTTTCCCACGACTCCAGAGTGAGCTTCCTGTTCGCCTCGTACTCGGCCAACGTGTTGGGATTGAGTCCAGCATCAGCGTCATGAGAATATTCAAGGTACAACCTGATGTTGTTGAAATCTTCTTTGTGGGACTCAACGACAGCGACACACTTCATGACGTTGTACAACGACCACAGCCACTCCACCGTCGTCTTCCGGTTCTCGATGGAGTCCACCATGTGATAGTTGTCAAGCCGGTCCTGACGAGATACCAAGAACGTCGACTCCTTCTTGCGAAGGAGCTTGTGCTTGTTGAGCGTCTCATCCAACAACTTTTCCATGAACTGGTTGTAGATGGGCGGGAGCATGTAGTACGAACCCTCGGTGTTGGCCAAGATCGTGATGTTTGCAATGCTCCACCAACTCCTGCACTCCTCAAGCACATCGATCGCCTTGGCGCACTTGTTGAACAGCTCGGGCCAGTGACCGTCTCCGCAACGGTATGGCCATTCGGGCTCATCGCAGATCCCACCACTGCCAACGAGCTCGTTCCCGGACCAGTACACCGTCACGTAGAAGTCGTGGTCCTTAAACTCAGGGCGCTTCTTCAAGTCCTTCATGGCGCTCTTCACTGTCCACGTGAGAAATGTGAGATCCTTTCCCCAACACATTCTCACCTCACAGTGGGTACAACCAGTGCTGCGGTTGTAGTTCATGTCCTGCGCCAAATCCGCCCTCTTGCGGTTCTTCTTGCCACCGCTGATGAGGGCGAGGCTGGAGTCACTCACAACAAGGTATACGCTATTTCGGCCACAGGTTGCCCCGGGCGTGATGCGGCCAAGACCTTTGTCGTTAACGGCGCAGAGCGTATCCATGAGCTCCGGCGCGTAGTCAGCCGACCACATAGCGCATGAACTCTGAAGGGTGGCCTGTGCTCCGAGGATCTGCTCCATTGTCTTGCGATCCTCAGGCCTCGTCTCCTGGAACAAGGTGTTCGACGTGAAGCTCGTCATCACACCTCGCCAGTACTCCAAGTTGCCCTCCTCATACTCCCCGAGATTGTAAGCAGCCATTGCGGCTACCGGTGAGGGAAGCTTAAGAGCAACAAGTGCACGTTTTGTGGGTCTCTGAGCCGAGCTATCGGTGACAACCTGTTTCATGCTGTCAGCAAACTCAGAAAAACATCCATGGATCAGGTCAGTCATTTCATACGTGTAAGATTCAGCACGTTTGAGGGCCGCCCCCCTGGACTGTCCATGCTGATGATCCTTTGTGCACTTATACTGTTGCAGTTTGGCCAACGATTGACAGGAAGAAGCAATAGTCCATGACTTTTGCAACAAATTTCCATCCTTGTCCAGGACACCAAACATGCAACCATCGCAATTGTACTTGACCATCTCATATTTCATGAGGAAATCATGCACGAAATAGTTCTTCCAATAACTGCAAAGCTTAGGAAGTTCCATGTTGATCACAAGCACAATGTCAAGCTGTCGAAGCATAGTGATAAGTTTGTCCAAACGCTTCAGCAGTTTGCGAAACAACGCCTTGTGCTCCTGGATCTTGGCTTGACCTTCTTGAGTCTGACCATTGATATTGTTCCAGGGGCACCCACCCGTACACGGAAGTGAAGCATGAAGCATCACACAGGGCGGTGTTTTGGACTTGACATTCTTCCTGAAAAGTTGCACCTCGTCAAATACCCATTTCAATGTATCAGCAACCAACGCATTCTGACGCTCAGTTACTCTAAGCACCTTGCATCCAAATGCTGGTAATCTTGATTTGTCGCCGAGCTTGGAATCATCAGAACAGCAAAATTCGCACAAGAACCGATCATAGGTTTCATGCGTGGAAACGGCGGAAGCTTGCGCCTCGCTAGTGGGGGCTGGTTTGATTGTAATGTTTCCATCCAACTGCACCCACCGTACTCCAATAAGATTGCACGCGTGATCCCATTTTGCTTTGCTCGTAAACGGCTTGGTCAAGATGTCCGCAACCTGATACACAGTGTTGACATTGACGAGATTGAAGAAACCTTTCGTGAATTGTTCTCGAAGCCACGCCAAAGAAGTT